AGTGGTTCCTGGACAGGAATCGCAAGCAGAGGTTGGTACCGGTGAGTGGTCTGGTTCAGTTTCCTTCTGCCTACTTGAGGAGAAGAGATGTGAATAGGGCTCTGCAGTCTCTCACATGTGACTCCCAGCGCCTTCAGGCTGTACCATTGTTATTCAGTAGCAATGAGGCAAGATCTAATTGCTGAATCACTTTGTAGTAGTGGTCTGGGTGCTTACCCAAGCTGTGTGGATGATTCAGGTTTAGTTCCTTCTAAAGCTTCATGAGTGAACATCTGGCTGCTGGACTAAGAGGTGGGTGTGGTGTTTTCTGCCTTGTCTTGTTCTCATGCAGTTGTACCAGTTCATGGGGATCACAAAGCTAGTATTTAGCCTTATGAAGCCTAGCAGTTTGGGTGTGTGGTTAGCTTGTGTTAGAATGGGGTTCAAATTCCCTCCATATGCCTGTTGGAAAGGGATTTGAATCTTCATCTCTTACCTCTCAAGTGAATGGCCTAAGTGCTGGGCTAGGTGGTATTCTGACCTTGGGCCTCCCTTGCTCTTTTCTGCTCAAGCTGCTCCACACTCAGTTCATATTCATCAGGCCAAAGCCTCAGCAGACAGCTTGCTGGTTGGGTGTCTGCCCAGCAGGTTAGAAGTTGAGGTTTGCTTTCCCTTCTTGCTTGTTGATCTCTTACCTCTCAAGTGAAGATCTGGGCTAGGAGGTATTCCAGTGTGCTGGCTCTCTGTGTATCCTCTTGAGGATAGGCCACTGTCATTAAATAATTAAATAGTCATTGAGCCACAAGCACCCCATCAATCTGCCCGTAGTCCAGTGGCTTGGGTACTTGCCCCTTCAATAGCGCATGTGCTAGTTCACATCCTCTTTATGCTCCCTGGAAAGGGATCTGAAAATTGATCTCTTACTTCTCAAATGAATGGCCTAAGTGCTGGCCCAGCAGGTAGTTGGAAGTGGGGGCTCCTTCAGCCTCTACTGTTGATGGCTAGCCACATTCAGTAAATATGAAATGAGATTGGACTGCTTAACTCCTGTAACTCCCTCTGTATTCCTGTGCTTCGGGTACCTGCCCTTTCTGTTTTTGTTGAGAAATGAGTGGCAGTGTGATCACTGTCAGCGTTCCACTTCAACTATATATTAATCAGGGCACAGGAAGCTTCCAAAGCCCTCTGTGCTAAGGGGGTTTCGGTTGCTCAGCTGGGGTGAGAGTCCCTGGATCAAATCCCTGCTCTGCCAGGCAAGCAAGCCTCTGGTGTATGAGAGTAGAGCCCTAGTAGTTGATCAAAAGGACATTTGTGGCCCCTCTTGCTCTTTTAATGGAAGAGGCATTGTTGCTGGGAAGCAACCACCACTCACTCACATCTACCATGATAAGGATACAAGCCCAGGCTGTGGTTGACCCCCAGGGCACTGCTATGGGCTTTTGAGGGATGTGAACTGGGGGCTCCCACCTCACTGGTGAGCAAGCCTTGTCTGAATCCCCTCCCCCTCCCAAGATGACAGTGGCCTCTTGAGAAAGAGAGGGGGTGTCATGATCATGAGGGTTAGCCAGCATCCTGGGAACTAAGGGGTTAACTATGTCCCTTACCTAAACCAGGTGGCAGGCAGCCAATAGAAATGTAGGTAGGAATTTCAAACTGGGACAAAGGAATTTTAGGGGTTTCCCTTCCTTTGTCTCTGGGGCAGTTTCTCTCCATCTACTGAGGGGGACAGACAGAATGTCTCCCTCCAAGAACAGACTCTTTGTAAGTAGGGTAAAGTTTAGAAGATAAATCCATTAGGTTTTATTGTTTTATGGTTTGGGAAATGGGATCTAATGTCTGTGCATTTAAAAATGCTTTTTGCTTTCTTTTGTAACTAAGCTCCTGGCCCATGAGTATATTACTGTTACTTTTCCATCTAGTCATTATGCTTGCCACAGGAATATTGTACTGATAATAAAAGTTCTTTCTCTTTTCTTTTCTTAACCTGGCATTGGTTAATTTTTGTGTCCTGGTTTGTACTTTAGGGGTAAGATTTTCCAAGTGATCTCTCTCCTGATTTTCTTATCAATATTTTGGTGGTGGCAGCAGGATTTTATCCCCAAAATCTAGGTTAAGATTTTGGGGGGAAGTTTTATACCAAAGCCTAATAGATAAAGTTTTTGGGGTACTTTTGTTGGCCCCCACTTCTGCATTTATCATGCCAGAGTGGGGAAGGAGCCATGACAGGGGGTTTGGAGAAGGATGCCCCATCCCCCCCAAAAGACGATCACCTAGGAGGCAGGAAATCCCTGTGCAAATCCCCACTGAACAGGCAGTTGGGGGATTTGAACCCACTGGAGTGAAGAGTGAGGGTCTTGGATGGTGGGTGAAGCTGCCAATTGTAGAATAGAATGTGCCCCCCCATTCTATTCTTGCTCCACTTAGATCCTTCCTCCTCCCCATTGTCTCCCTCTTCTCTGCTCACCCATTCCAGCCAAGTCCCTGAACCCAAATGTAGCGAATGACATTTGGGGGAAAACCACTCTTCTCAAATGTCTTTCTAAAGCATGTTTTTCACTGTATGCCAGATTGTGAAGATTGAACATGGAGAAGGTACTTAATTAAAAGCACTAAATTTGGCAGTAAACATAATCACAGGTTGTTTTTTTATATACCCTGAAGTTTGTCAGAGATTTATTTGCAAAACTTAGAAGTATGGGCAAGTCAGTTGAATACAACATTAAATATTGTGGAATACATGATGCAGCCCTTCTCTATTTTATATTTTAAATGTGCTCTTAATGGAGGGGTGAAAAGAATAAAACAAAAACAAAAAAACCCTGATATGGCCCCCGACTTGAGGAGAAAAACACTCCCCATGTTCCCCTTGTACACCAGAGCCTAGGGTAGCCTCAGGCGAGTAGATTGTGTGTTCTCCAGCCCCACAGAGGTGCAGTGCAGGGCTGGAGCGCCAGCACGGGCTCCGTAATGCCAGGCAGGGAATTCTGAGATGCGGGGGCTGAATCCAGGCAAGCCAGGGGCTGCATCCAACCCCCGAGCCTCAGGTTTCCCACTCTTATTTTAAGCCTTCATAAAGTAATCATTCCAGATTAGTACATATTTAAACTCACTGAAACAAAGACATTATTTTAAATTAATCAGTCAGGACAGTTTACTGTGCTGTATATATTTACAAGAGTAAACCCAGTCTGACAGGCCCCCTCTAAGACAGAGGGCAAACTCTCTCTGTGCCTTGATATGCTTTGCATAGGTGAGGAGAAGGCTGTCAGGACAACCAGTTACTGCTCTCTGATTCTCAAACTTTCCTGGCCCTCACCTGTCTTAGACCACTCAATGAGCTTCTCTTGGTAATTCTGCTTGGAGTAGAGGGTTTTTGTTTGTTGTTGTGTGTTTGTATTGTGTTGGATTGCAGTTTTGCTACAGTGCCCTCTTCCTTCCCTCTGGCCACCTGGGAAATGACCATGATTAGAGAATTGTTGGTATGGTACAGGCCAAACCTAAAATCAGTTCTGCCCTTTACTAAGAAAAGATGTGAGTTCTTTGTTTTTTAGTTTCTATTTTGAGCAAGATCCCTGGGGAGTTTTCTCTGAGCTTGTTGATTCAATTCGCGAGTTGTACTTCCATGAGAAGTGACCGGAGTTAAAATGCTGTAGGGGAGCTCAGGAAGGAATTACTTCCAGAAGCTTCCTGTCTGCTCCTTTGGCGAGGACTGATCACCTGTTCATGGTGCAACTGTGGTTATCCTTTAAGGGAGCCCCCAGAATAGTTGGTAAAGTGGACAAGACCCCTGTCTAGCTGTGGGTTAGCTGGTGCTAAGGAATAACAGGGAGCAGAGGCATCCTAAGTTTTAGAGAGGAACAAACTAAAATATCACATATGGTGGTTTTAATTACAATAGCAGTAGTTTTTAATCGTTTGATCTGCCTTTTCTGCCAGGTTCTTAAAATACCTGCCACAACTGTCAGTTCATTTCATGCTGAAGAGCTTTGGCAGTAGAGAAAAATCTGAGGGCTAGAATGTCATTGTTTAGTTTTTCATAAACCTCCCTCCTGTAATGCTAATTAATAAAAATGGCTTTAAATTGGGACCTTCACCCCAGGTCCTCTTATCCCACAACCAATCTTTATTGCTGCGTTTTTGACATGGCATTCACTTCCCCCCTGGCATACCAGGATAGCCCGAACATACAAATATGTCTTCAGAGCAGGATCAAGCAGAAATAGGTGTTTTAACAAGGGCTCACATCCCCCATCTCTGAAATAAGAACAGACGGAATACTCAAAATGACTATCCAAAGAAATTGCTTTTTTATGAATGTTCTCTTCTCCCAAGTTTATTCACTGGTGATAGCCCTGCTACAAAGTAGGAAAACACATTCACATTAGCTCGTAATTATTCTAGAAACTTAAGTTTGGCCTGCTATTCCTGGATGTGAGATATGTGTGGGATAGGACTGCTGCATGGATTCTGATTTGCAACATTTGTATTTTATTTTCTGTTAAGCATCCTTGCTCTCTCCCTGTGATAATGATGGTCTGTAAATGAAATGAGTTACCTGGCATCTGGCTATGCACAGTAGTTGTCTAATTCCCATTTCTCTGCTGACCATGCATGTTGTTTCTTTTAGCAATACTTGTATGAAAAACCACCACCTTGTACAGCAGTCCCACAGTAGGAACACGCAGAGCATTACTGTTGCAAAGCTACGTGATGTGCATATTGTGCTTCAGAGTAAAGGGAGGGGGATGTGGTGATGCTCTAGATTATTACATTAGATTTCAGAAGCTGTGTTCAGAGTTGCTTGATCTCACTCTGTTGCTCGTGACTGGGTATGTTTTGCTCCAGGGTGACACCAGCAAGTCACGGTTGACATGTGTCCACAGAACTGCATGGGAAAGCTTGTCAATTGTATAAATGTTAATCCTGGGCTTTTGTTCTGACTAAACTCACTCATGTCTGCAGTGGAAAAGATGAATGCAACAGGCACTGATTTCCCTCCTCTCCCTTGCTTGATGCTGCAGGTACTCGAAGAATTGTGGAATGGGGAGGGGAAGACTCCACTTCAGATTGTTAAAGAAAAGAAACTTGAACGAATCCAGGATCAGCAAGAGCTTGAACAGATCTGCCAGGCAGTGATGGAAGAACACCAGGAAGAGGTGATTAGAACAGGGGTGGGAAACTGAGTACAGCAGCTGGACATGTTGGTAGTCGGTGATGCTAAAACAGGGGTAGGCAGATTGCAGCTGACAAGCTGCATCCAGCGCATCAGCCGTTTGAATCAGGCCCTAGAGCTCCATGTGGAGCAGAGTCCGGGGCTTGCTCTGCTCTGTGCAGCTCCCGGAACCAATAGCATCTCCCTACTCTGGCTCCTACACTGAAGGACAGATTGAGGGCTCTGTGCACTGCTTCCACAGTTCCCATTGGCTGTAGCTCCCAACCAATGAAAGCTGCAGGGGCAGCATTTGTGGATTGTGTGGGACGCAGGCCAGGGAAAGTACACAGAGCCATCTGGCTGCGCCTCTGTGTAAGAGTTGTCTGGAAGGGAAACAAGTCACTGCTTCTGGAAGCTGCTTGAGGAAGTAAGCACAGCCCTGAGCCTGTACTCACGAGCTCCCCTTCTAAACTCCATGTCCCAGCCCTGATTCCCCTTCTTGCTCTCCAAACCCCTCAGTCCTAGCCCAGAACGCCCTTCTGAACCCCAACCCCCTCATCCCCACCCCAGAGCCCCCTCTTGGACCCCAAGCCCTCACCCCCCACACTGCAATTTCATGAGTGTTCATGGCCCTCCATACAATTTCAATACCTTGATATGACCCATGGGCCAAAAAGTTTGCCCATCCTGTGCTTAAGGGTTTAAATTACCATGTTTCCTTTGCATTTGTTTGTACATCTTCAAAGAGAAATGAAGGATTTCTTATTCTGACTTGTCAGAATGACTTCGCTTCTTGGACTATGTATAAGAGTGATAGGGCAAGAAAACAAGCACCGTAGAAGTCCTGTTCTTTTCAACCATATGTGTGCAGAGAGCACTTTTGTTAACCTGGCCTGGCAATTTTGATAATAATTCCCTCATTCTTTTTCCAAATATGTTGGATATCTTGTAAGATCAAAGATATGAAATTAATATAACATTGTGAAAACTCAGAGTATCTAACAAGAAGTCATTATTCTACATGAGTAATATTAGCTCAAAAGGATAGCAGTAGTATTGGTAAGCCATAAAGTTGGCTTTTATTACATCTCTTCACAAAGTCCATGTCTCTGTACCCCCAGGAACATATACTGACTAACCCTCATGAGCAACCTCACACACACACACACTATGGCTACGTGAAAATATGGTAATGAAGGACTCATTGGCATAAGTCGTGACATCATTAGCATATTTTCTGCCAATAAAACCTCATAGTGAAGACATAGCCTATGTGTATGTAATATACAATAAAGCTTTAACATTTCAATTTCAAAATTCCAGAGATTTTCAGTTAGAAAAAGTAAAACTTGTAAATTATGAAAGGGGGACAAAGCGGAGGGGTAACCTTGATTGCATCTAACATTAGCTGCATAAAAACGTGCTTTTGTAGTCTCTCA